CTCTCTCTTTCAAGTTACTATTTGGTAACTGGTGTCTGTTAGGCATATGCTGATGGTGCTTTGATGTTCAAATGGAGCTGCTGGGGATGAAAGCAGTATGAGAGAAATCTCACGTATCGGATTTCATCTCCGCTCTCGCTCCCCGCTCGTCTCTGCTTCCTCTGTGTCTCTGCCAGCTAATTCCTCATTGGTTACTCTGAGCACAACCTGAACCAGCTCCCAATCACACAGGGGCACGATGAGGGGGGAAGGAGATCCCCGATTGGCTTTGAAGAAGATGGATAAAAAGATGATTCTTTTCAGCGCTTTGTGCCACAGTGTGACCCCCTGAAGACGCATTTTAGATTCTGCTTATTCAGGCCATACTCACCAAACACTTACACCCCCCCTCCCTATACCTTATATTTATCAGTGGCCACCAAGCAGCGAGGTCTTCCAGGCGACATATATTACATATTCACTTCTGTCTGGACTTCTCAAGTGCAGGATTTCAACTACTGCCCTTGAGGTCATGCACAATATTTTATGCATGCACATGCCTTGTGCACGGAGAGTGATGGAGAAATGTCTCTTCCCACCCTCAGGGGATTACAGACAGCAGACGGGACGAGAAACAGGCAGGTTTGACATTTAAATAACTCCAAGAGTCCGTTTTTCAAGCCATGACGAATGTTGCAGCTGCAGACTGTATTTAAAGATGGACAACGTGACAGCTCCTTTAAAGTGAAACCAAATCATTTCGATCTCCCCCTGGTGGCGATCTCCCAGTCTAAGTGGATGGGACATGGACCAAAACCTACAAGTTAAAGCAAATGCAAAATAATTTAAGGCATACATTTCACAACTTTCAACTCAGTTCAGGGTAACTTCTCTCAAAACAAAAGTTTGATGAGGACACACAAACTGGAGCTGCCTCATTAACCATCGGATTGGAATTCGAACTGAGCTCCTTGATATTCCCAGGCCTTCAGAGTCGGAGCTGGTTTTTGCATTTCTGGCAGCAAATTTTCTCTCTTATAAAAACTTTATTAAGCTGGCAGACAGTCTGTTATACTGGCATCAATACACAACCAGTGGAAAACACATTTTTTCTTTTTAGCCTTGACAGGAGATAAGACCGCTGGTCTGTTTTTTCCATTATTAAGATAACTGTTAGCCCCTTGACAAAGGCCTCGGCCATTATAACACTGATAGGTGCTTATACATTAGTCATAATCTTCTTCTTTTATCAGGCCAATGGTCATTCAACAGTGTCCAAGGTTAAAAACAATTCAGGCATCCAGTGAATCATCTTTTTTAACTTCAACAATTAATGAGTCATCTGTTTGCCTAAAGGAGACATATAAAGCTTTTTATTTGTCTTTTATAGTTTTTCTGTGAATGTGAAAATCCTGCAAAGTTAAATAGGGAGCTCCCCTAATGAGACAGTAGCTACAATCAAGTGTTTCAGACAGAGGCTGGAGAGAGGAGCCGCAGCAATGGGCAGTGTGAGGAAAGTGAAGTCTTCTGAACATTAGAGCATCAAAACATTTTCAAGTAATAACACAAATTAGAATGATGAACCTGAATATGAGCAGAATGTGTTTCCTTTATGGTTTTTGATTATTGCCCAGATTGCAGCCTGGTGACGAATAATTCAAACGCACTGTGGTTTGAATCTGCATTTTAAATCAGTAATATGGAATAAATCATGATCTCCGTTTTCTTTTCATCACATTTCTGTGCTTTGTGCAGTCTCTAATGAAAACCAGAATTGGCACTGAGACAGACAGACTAACATCAATACACCAAGAACAAATAGTTGTTTATCTACTAAATATCATGTGTTTATACATGTATGTATGTACTGGTGACAGCACTGTGATTAAAATTCTGTATGTTTACGTCAGTCTGACACAAAAGCCTTTCACCTGATTTCCTGAGGGAATATGTACGTCTTCATTTGTCTGCATGTGTGTGTGTGTGTGTGTCAGCACCTTGGTATCATTACGTATTCTCTATGGACCGAGCGCTGCTGCTCAATCACACTGCAGTTATTCAGTGAAAGAACAGATTTACATGAGTGCAGCGGTTGAATACAGCTCAGCGTTTACAGCATAATAAGCTATTAGCATTACCGCCACAGGGACACACTGTGACCGGGAGCATTTCCTTTTCTTTTAATGGTTTGATTCACATTTTATTTGATTATGAAGAGTGGAGAGGGCCTGACAAACAGCCTGCAATGTTTGGTGATATTAAAACAATGGCAGTGGATTAAATGGTCTGTAAGCTTAATGCTTTTTGAATATGGTGTGGAGCTTGGCACCTAAACGTCTGGCATTTCCATTTTGCATTAGTCTCCGATGGGAAAGAGAGAAAGACAGTTTGCATGAGATGCTGAAACTGAACAAAGTACTAAATAATGATTTTGTCATGAATGAAAATATGATGAAATAATTGACCATAAATTGAAGTGGTTGGATTTGAATGGGTTTGAGTGTGCAAGTCATTTTTCATACTAGACATATTACATTCAATTGATTTCTCCCACATATAAGTGTCATGAGCACTTAAGGGTCGAGTGTTTTACTGAAGGAGACAAGTAGGGACGGAGGTATTACTCAACAAATGTACTTAAGTATAAGTTAAAGGACAAAAAAACCCTACATCATCAGGGCAGAGTGTCGGATTCTAATCATATAAAAATGATATAAATACAAAAAAAAACGGGAAAATGTAATGACATTTATTGTACAATTTAGCATAGAGCAGAAAGTATAGATATTTACCGTTATATGTGGTGGTGTATAAGTGAAAAGTACCCCAAAATAAATGTGCTTTACTAAGGTCCAGATGTAAATATACTTTGTTTAATCCCACCACTGGAGTTTTCTTATGAATGAAAAACCACTGTGATCATGCACATACAGTATAATTATACCTGTATCGCATTTGTAACGTTCCAGCCGGCCTCCCAGGCGGTGATGGTGGGAGCTGGATTCAGACCCGTGGTGCCAGCGTTGGGGCTCTGAAGTGAATCAGCCAAACTCATCCCTGTTCTCTCTTCTTCAAGGTGCGTAGATGTTCCTTCCCCTCCCTCCTCTCCATCTTCAGAAAGTCCCTGCTCTCTTTTATCCCCTTTAAACGACCCATCCATCCGACTGGATCTGCTCCTCTTTCCCTTGAAACGCAGGTTCTCCTCACTTTTGCTTCCCATTGTGTCCTCCTCCATGTCAGAGGATCTTTCTCCTTTGCCATAATTCGAGGTGTTTTTGAACCACAGGGAGTCTGCACTGGAAACTGTTGAAGTAATGGTGATGGTTCTGGGTCCAGTGGAGAGGACAGTAGCCCTGGTCTCTTTAAAAGATGGACCATCATTATGCCATGAGGTGCTGCTGGATCCCGTCAGGTCAGGAGCTGGCCTCTCTCTCACAGTGGGGGTGTCCTGCTCAGTCAGAGAAGGACTGCTTGTGTTTTTGTTTGCGATGTGGTCAAAGGTAGATCGACTCTCCTCACTGTAGGTTCTGTTCAACTCATCACTGTGGGTCAGAACCAGCATCTCCTCATCCTGTTCAAAGAACCTGAAAGAATTCAAAACAGTTCACTTTCTTTTTATTGGTTTCTGTGACCTCAACAATTTCACTTAACTATTTATTTTTCCCACATTAAGGAAACCAAGTTATGTCACTATTCAACTAGATAAAAAATAACTGAAGGTCTCAACATTATTCCTATTTCTTCATGTAACACGCTTTAATTTGTGCTGTATTAAAGTATTTAACATATAAATCCATAGTACTGTAAATCTAGAGGTAGATATATCCCATGATGTGACTCACCTTACCGTCCTGCCCGTGTGTATCCTCGACACCGCCCAGCCCCACAGAGATCCAGCAGAACTCCAGGGCTGCCAGAAGCTTCGAGCCCAGCGAGGAGAGCCCATCTTCAGCCGCACAGTCTGCAGAGTCAGCCTCTCTGCCTCTGGAGCTCCGAAGGTTTGGAGGAGGTTGACTTTGCTTTGCCCACAAAGTTATTGTCCACATACACAACGTCAAACACACACCAGCAGAACTACACAAACTCACAGGTGTGTGAAGTGACTGACAGGTTGTTGAACTGGAACATTTTAATACAGCAGTGTTTTCAAGAGTGAGGGAGTAAACAGCTATAATGGCCTGCATATAGATACACTCAGTATTGTAGGGGAGGTCAACACTCACTGCCTTTTTATTATTTTCTGACTTGTGACTTGCATTTTTTTGTTGTGTGTGTGTCCAGACCAAGTTTTGCCCCAGAGTGTGGTGAGTTGTGTGGAGCAGCAGGAGGAGCCATAGAACAGAGGTGCATGTGACTGGGTGGACTCAGCTCCACCAAAAACTTTAACCAACAAAAATCATTTGACATTAAGTTACATTACATTAAGTAGCAGTAATACAAAGCTAAGCATGTGGATTAAAGTACTGTTCTCTTAAGTACTTTACCACAGTATTTAGATTGTGTGCTCTTTTACAATTTGTCTCCAATAAACTTTTCTACAGTTTAAAATTTCTGACATAGATTACCACGGTAGTTAATTTGAAAATGAATATTTAGCAAAATAACAATAATAATAAAAATAATATCTCTGTAAACAAGATTACAAATAATACATTCGAATTATAATAATATAATATTATAGTCTGTCTATCTATATCTCTGTCTGTCTTTCTATCTGTCTATCTTTCTATCTATCTATCTATCTATCTATCTATCTCTCTGTCTGTCTTTCTATCTATCTATCTATCTATCTGTCTGTCTGTCTATCTATCTATCTATCTCTCTATCCACCTTTCTATCTATCTGTCTATCTTTCTATCTATCTATCTATCTGTCTATCCGTCTATCTTTCTATCTGTCCATCTATCTGCCTCTCTGTCTTTGAGAGGAGAGGAAGAGGAGGAGGGAGAAGAGGAGGAGGAGGAGGAGAGTGAGTGATCTCAGTCTCAAACTTTCCTGCAGCTTCAAACTCAACACGCCGCCGCGCGAGAGGGACAGCGCGCGCGCTGCGGAAGCTGAACTTCATTAAACTTTGGAGTGCGCAGAAATGACGCGACACGTGCTCGCGCTCTTGGCCGGGTTGCTATGGTTGCAGCGGAGCGCTGGTCAGCAGAGAGGTGAGTCGATCCTCCGCAGACTAATCGATCACATCTGATCGATCACGTCTGATCGATACTCTTACGCACTCAGCGTAAAGCCGCTTTCAGAATGAGCCTCAGCTGCGCACACAGCGGTTGTAGCACAGGGACCCGTCTAACTGCTGGAGGGACAATCATACTCGTGTCCTTTAAACATTTAGAGAAATACTGTGAAATCAATTCTGTTGAATCTGAACAAGAAACAAATCACAACTTCCATGAAGGAACCTGTGAATGAAAACACACTGACTTCAGCTGGAGCCACATGTTTACAGAGTTTGGTTTTATGTTTGTGATGCTATTCAATCTATTTCTATAGCACAACATACATAACACACTGTCCACAGTGAGGCAGAGACTTAAGATATAGATATCATAGAGAATCATCTACAGTCAGTGGGAAGCATGAAAACCTGATTCGTAGTACTTTTAGTAGTACTTTCAGTAGTACTTTCTTCACTCAGAGTCCCAAAGTGGTTGAAAAGTTGCCTCTTTCAGTTTTTGAGCACGAAAATAACTTTATTTGTGGTAGTTTTTTTCCATCATAGTCTTTCTTTATCACCAACAGAAGAAAAAGTGAAAAACTCCTCAATCACACTAATCCTAATTATAACGAACCGTTGGCTGGAGTGACGGTCGGTCATGGATGGGAAAGAGCTTTTGGCCTGTTTGGTTTGTTGTTGGTGATGTTTTACTTATTATAAGATATTGAGAAACCTTGTTAAGTATATATAAGTATATAGTTGATTTGTTGTTACCGACACAGTTTGTCTTCACTCAGTGTGTACTTTCATTTGGTCCCAGCTTTGTGTTCCTCCTTAGGGAGTCTTGCTTCGCACCCTGTCGTAGTTTGTTCCTGGCTGTGTGCAGCTGTAGGGACCATATGTCTCTGTCCTGTAGTTAACCATCATCCGATCACTTAGAAGATTCAGTTTGGAAAGGAAGATATTTGCAAACAGTAAAACCGGGTTTTTGGACAAGAACTCCAGGAAATGTTTGCACGGTCGGGTCTGGATATTTTCCGGCATTTGCCTTTCACAGATTGCTGATGTCACTCGTTCACAAAAACAGAAAAATGTCCCTTATCACCAAAAGCTATTAAATGTCATCGACATCTTCGTCAGCACCTTCAACGTGTACAGCTTCTCTTTTTCATCTGGAGATATTTGTTTTTATTCCAGTTTCTGGAATCGTCTTGTGTTAGAAATGTCATCAACACGCGCAATCAATGTCCGGAGCAACTGACTCGGACATTTGCGTTCTCACATACAGCCTCTCTGGAAGATTTGAGTTGAGCAGCTTTAAAGTAAAATTATGTAAGGACGTTTTTCTTAATTCTCACCTTTGGGTTCCTGCCATGCATCAAGGTTTAGAGTTTTGAGATCTCCAACTGTGCCCCTGTTTCTCTGGATAATCCACAGACCTCAGTGTCAACAGTTTCATGTGGAACTGTTTTCTAAAAATATGAAAACTGCTCACTGTGTTCTGCAGATTATCCAGAGCAACAGGGTGCTGCAGCGTTTTGGGAAAGAAGCATTAATGTTGAAATATTCCCCCTAATATTCATTTCAATGCTTCGAGCATTGTTGTTCTCAGAATCTCAGATGGATATCTCAAAACCCAAACAATTGAAAACCATGTCAATGCACATGTCGGGGACGCCACAAGGGATAAGAGAGAAAAATCTAGTTTTTTATTTTATTATTCAAGGTGATTCAACTCTTTTAAAGATCAAACTGAATCATGAAGCACAGCAGCTGCTCTTTAACTTAGTTATTGTTTGTTATTTGTGAGGCTGTGAAAGATTAATTATGTGCTGTGTGTGTGGTCGGGCCATGACACAGTCAACAATGAAAAATGAGCAACAAAGCCCTCAGCAGAGATGGGAAAAGAGACACAACCAAATCAATATAACAGAGCACAATATAAAAAAAATCATATTCAAGTGAAATACAGATTTTTTTCCCCATTTCGGCCACAAAATGATGTAGAATTGGACGTTTCCGGATTATTATAAAAAAAACTTCCCCCTGCATGAAGAAGGTTTGTGAACATGTGAGTGTGTTTGGAAGATGAGACAAATCTAGTGCTTGTCATGCAGTTTTCTATTTATCGTCGTCATTGCATCTCCAGCTACTGTTTAACCCAGGAGTGCTTCGGACCCCCCACAGTGGGGAGGATGGGGGGGCTGTCATCAGGATGCATGTGTTTCTGCAAACTGAGAGGAAGAGAGAGAGCGGAAAAGTGAAAGTGAGTAGAGGAGGGCGGGAGAGGCCATCTGTGAGAGGAGCCTCATTACCGGGCGTGTCAACCAGGCATGCTCTCTATCAGCGACAGAGCTCAGAGAGACATCAGGAGGTAATCAGAAAGAGAACAGGAGGAGGAGGAGGAGGAGGAGGGCTGAAGAGGAAGGGGTGCGTTCAAGAGTTCTCCGGTATTGGAGGAAACAGCAGCAATAGAAAGAGGGTGGGTTGACAGGTAGACGGGACGTTCAGAGGACACGAGGGAGACGTGGTGCAGAGGATCAGGGAGGGACTGGGAAATACACTCAAACGATAACAAGCGGAATAGAAATGGGAGTTTTTAAATAGAGGTGTTCTGATGTTTTTCCCTTTTGGATTGTGATTCTGATACCTGACATTTGCATATCGGTCGATAACGAGTACTGCTCTGATACTGAGTACTGCTCCGATACCAGTGCATTAAAGAAAATTACTTACAGAGCAAAAAACTAAAAAATACTCATGTAAAAGTTGCCTGAAAAGTTGATTTGTTGAGTCGTGGATCAGTGTGAATGTTCCCAGCCTGATTTGCATGATCAACATTGAATGAATCCAGATTTAAACCAACAGAGAAATCAAGGTTTTATTTAGCAAATCGTTCTAAATGTCACTGTTCTGCGGAAATCACAACTGATTGATTTCCCTGCTGGTGCTTTTTGGGCTTTGGCCTCATCGAAGGTGAGGCCTGATCCTGCGAAATAGTTTCTTCTTGGGAGGATCTTCGCTGAAAATGCGAAACAACAGTCAATTTGTTGAGGGTCTCTTCAGAGCAACTACGTTTCGTGTTATACGTTTATGCTAATGTGGATTTAACCAAGCCGGGCTAAATGCAACGTGATGTGCTCTCACCAGAGGTACCGCCGCGAATGCCGTCAGAGAAATCAACATTTTTATGAGGTGAATTCATCCCAATGTCATAATGTTTCTAAAATATGTTGATCTGGGTCTGCTATGTTAATGTGAACGCAGCCAAGCTTAGCTGAATGGATTTGATGGAATACACCAGAGGGAAAGCTCTCAGGCTTTTTTCCTCAGACCCACATTCAGTGAATATAATCAGCGTGTCCTAGAAAATAAGGAAGCAAGGATGGATGGACAGTGACAAGGAGGAGACGACAATCGTAAGGACGTAGAGGAGTTTTGTTTAGTTGGCTGTGCGTTGGAATAACAGCTTCTATGGTGAAAGTATGTCGTTTGTTAAAGCATGCTGCAGTGAAGAAGTGAGTTCAGAGTAATTACAGACTGCATTTTGTATTCATATCGAACACTTTTATGTTGTTGCTTTTAAACGTGTTTGTCTCTTCTGCTGTTACTGTGATTTAAAATGTTTAGACACTTGTAGCTGTGGATGTAAAAACCAATAACTGTGATTATGGATTATGAATCCTTTTTATTTATCATTTAAACAGTTCTATAAAGAATGTTGGAAATTGCTAACACACGCTCATTACAATTTCCCTGAGCCCAATAAAGCATCTTTAAGATTTTTGGGGATTTGACCAAACCAATACCAATTTACCTTTTTTAAATCTGCACAACCCTCACATGTAATAAACTGAAAGTGACTTCAGAAGTGACTGTGGTCTCCTGTTCGTGGACACTAATAATCTCAGTTTTGACCTTATTTGATTATGAGGTCTACATGAGTTGCTTATTGTCGCAGTAGGCTGTAAAAACCATTAGTACTTATTGTTATTAAGATGTATACTTGTCGATATAATACGACTCAGATTGGAATATACCACATCTTAGTTTACTGTCTTAGACCTTATTCAGGTTAAGGTACATGGCAGTGTCTTATTCAGAGGTTTGTCTAAATCAGAATATCGTCCATGTCCGTGTTAATTGAATTTGTTGTCATCTGTTGTCAGTTCTGTTTGCAACACGATCTCTTGCTAAGGAGCATGTAAAGGGTAGTCCTGTAATTTAAGGTCTCCTTCCTGTGTCCGTCATGAGCTGGTTCTGTCCACGTGTCAAAAAGTCCTCGAGCCAGACGTTGAAGTTCAAATGTTGTTATGTGGGGAACGGGTCACTTTGGAAAAATGTGTTCCCAAAGGCCCGTTAGCTGTGAGGACGAGAAAGATGAGATTTGTGTTAAATGTCTAAATCTATTACAACTGAAAGGTGTGTGTATAAAAATGAGAAGTGAGGAGAAATCCAGTGCAGTACCTGTGGATTTTTAAAGTTAAGACTGAATGCTCATCTTTCGTCATTAATCTGGAAGGAGAGTTTGTCTTTTCTTTAATTTGGAGTTTGACTCGCACCTGAGACAAGGTGTGTGTGCTTGTCTCTGCTGGAGTTGTGTAAGTGTAATTTCATTTTGTCAGATTTGATGAAATGAAATTGGGTTGAACTGTGTTTTTGTGTTTGTATGTTTGTGCATGTGCTGTCATTTAAGGTCGAAGGTAGCCAAGATTTATTCAAGGACGTTGTGCCAAAGACACAGATCACATGTCCTCCAACAGGTGTGTGTGTGTGTGTGTGTGTGCGCGCTATAGCAGAATCCCGTGGGAGCTAAAATTAGCCAGGTGCTAAGTTGGAACCTAGCTGCATCCTTTCTGTCATGGACAGAGGCAGAGGAAGCTGAACAGGGAATGTGTGAGAGGGATGGTAGACTCTGACATCTTGAATCTCAGTGGGTTACATGTTTTTTTTACTTGACTCCTGTCGCAGTATAAGGGCGGAAGTAGACCAGCT